AAGTTTTAATATGAATGTTAAATATAGATAATGTCACCAGATTACTTGTTTATGCCTCCCAGTGTTTGACTTGGGTGTCTGCGGTTGTAGCTTTCCAAACACAGAGTTGAAGAGTGCCATCTAGTGGACAAACTGTGCAGTGCCATCAAATAACATTGTTAAAAGGCGTTTCTCCCAGGTCTCGTTTTTGTGTGTGTTGTTGTTGGTGGTGGTTTTTTTATGTGTATATATCTTTGTTTTTTCCTGTGTATTTCCCATAATACTGTCGATACCTATAGATCATAGCTAACATTTAATCAAAAAGATTTGCAGATTTGATTTGAGCTGTCTTTTTGATTACCATAAAGAGTCGCCTCAGAATTAAAAATGCTTTGCAGTAAGTCACAGGTCACGATTGAGTGGATTGAAATTAGGCTTTATACTGAAAAATGATCATTGCATCCTAGTTTCTACTATAGGTCTGCCTTAAATAAAGACTTGTTACTTTCTGCTGTTGAGGTCTATAAAGGCCATAATCTATATTTCAGGAAATGTGCTATAATCATTTTCAGCAATGACCCTCTGAGTGTAATGATCATGTAACAATAACTTTTTTCCTTTTATTCCCACTAGGAGTGTCGGAAGAATGAGATGCTACTGTCTAAACTGAGAGCTAAAGGAGCCTCTTAGCTCCGACCATACTGTTGGTGCGTTTCATTCCAAGTAATAAATATGATGCAAACCAGTTACTAATCTAATTACTTGGATGACTTTCATATAAAATCGTGGACATGAACTGTGTTCTTCACATGTGCCAGATGCAGCAGACTGGACGACATAAATGCAAATCATTGTTTTAATCACACCTTCTGTAACATCGTAGTGATCACTAATTAAGACCACGATCAGCCAGTTCTACCTAATGTTTTACATTTCGTGGTGAACATAACAATAAAAACTTAACCAGAGCTCCACAACAGTCTTGCAAATCATGACATTGTGTTTAATAATACTGGGCAACTTTTACTAACTCCCCGCACTGCACTGACTGTGAAGTATACGTACGTCTTTATGCTGATCATGAATTCAGGCTGCAACAGTGAAGAGAACTTGTAATAATGATGGTTTTGTGTTGGAGAGTTTCCTGGTGTATTTACATGCCTCTGAAGATTGTCTTCCATGTACCATCCAATCGCCATGGATGCAGTATTTAATGAATAAAGAATTGCTTATACAAACAGCAGAAATGACCGTGGTCTGTCTCATCTCAGATAGGATCTAACTAGTGCTGGGTATCGTTACTGATTTCTATAACTGATTCAATTCCAATTCACAAGGTCCTGATTCAATTCAATTCGATTCAGTTTCGCCTCAAACAGTCAGAAATGTAATTCTGATCATTTATCAGTACTGACACTTGTGAGACTTCATTAGAGGTGTAAGCATCGCAGGCTTTGTGTCAAAGTAGCTGATGATAAAACAGAAAAACATGAAGGAGATTTTCCTGG